ATTCACATGCTACGAAATTGTACCAAATTTAGTACATTTTCGTACTTTTCGGATAGATAGTTCGAATTTCAAAAAACCCTTTTGCACATCTATCCTACACTCCCTCAACGACCACCAAACCAAATTTCAGAGTTCTAGCTCCACCGGTTCGCCAAATACAAATGGTATCACATGTAGTACTTTTTAGTACTTTTCGTACCGTTCTAGTACGAATTTCCAAAAACCCAGCATTATCTGTCAACTTTTGGACCCTCACCCAAAATGTCAAGATTCTAGCTTCAACCGTTACGTTTGGGCGTTGATGAATCGCTAAATCAGTCAGTCAGTCAATCACTTTACTATTTTATTAGTATAGATTATACTACCCTATTTTCGGTATTTTTAAGGTACTTTTAAGTTTTTAGAAACTTTGTAACCGAAGTGGCTGTAATTTGAAACATATGGTTCTCTGAAAATAAAGACAAAACTGTTGTTGTGTGTCAATAAAAAATTTCAGATCTACGTTTATCATGCGGAACAGTCGCCGGTCGAACAATTTGTTTAATAAACAGGCAATCATTTGCTTCGAAGTGCTTCTTTAACGAAACCATGTTTACGGCAGGTGTTCATGCAATGCAGACGGTCGAAATTCTCAAAGCTGATTGTATCTCACGGTATGCCACGTAGCGAACTTGCAGTATCAGTTCACGCACGGCATCAATGTTCTGGGGCGTAACGTCTGTTTTTGGACGTCTTTGAGCGAGCCTCACAAAATTGCTCATCATTAAAAAGTATGGTGCTTCATTCCCATACGAAGATCAGAGTTCATCGATGCACTGTTGTCGTGATAATCGACGTAGAAAGTTGTGAAAAAAAATATAAGAGTTCTTTTCGATTATTGGCAAATTGATTTTACAAAACCATATTAAATATTATTGCAGTAATTTGTATTCAGAATAAGAACAATTTATAAAAACTTTTTGTTCCACTGTAGTTTGTATCGGTAATTTTAAATCCATCGCGTGTTCCATCTCCCATGTTTACAGTGATGACGCAGACCCTTTGTAGCGATGCGAATCTGTTGGCAAGTTTGGTATTTGTGTATCTGTGACTCTTCCCAGTGAATGTGTGTGTGTGCGGCTGAGTACCAGTTGCCAGTATTTGACTCAGTTTCCAACTTTGTATAATGCGTGCTGGGTGGAAAGACAGATTTTTTTGTTTACTTCACACTGGGCGGTGGTTTGCGGGGGTTGTTTGTTTGTCTGTGGTTTCGAATTCGTTTGCTGGTGAAATCCACAGGTTGTTAAATGTTTCGGTTGAATTTTTAGCATCAGTTGCTTTTGACGTTTTGTCATACGTTAAAGTTGAAAAGTTCTAGCGAGAATTCAGTCAGGCGCGCAAAAAAACCCCAGAACTGACATACAGCCAACCAGTCTAACGCATGCAAAGGCAGGTGGTCAAAACAAATTATACCAACAAAACAACAATACGGAACCACCACTGGGCCAAAGGTTAATTTGCAATTCTATGTAACCCATACATATGGTAATTAATAACCCAAACCGACATAGATGGTAGATTTTGTGTTGTGATGCATTGAATCATTTCCTAATATCTGCCAATATGAATGACATGGAAGCGAAAGAACATGAAAATAAAAAACACAATCATATATCCAATTACATAAAAACCTACAATGAAATTGTCTGTTCTGGATTGATTGATAATCTGGATTAAGGCCGATTTAATCAGCTTTATGTGGTTAACATGGTTTGAAGAGTAAAAATCTGTCAACAGCCAATGATAGTTGCTATTTGATGCTAAATACAAAACCTGAATAATTCAAAAATACTTAATTAAAAATAATCAAGTGTTGGTGTGTGTGTGTGAGTGCGCGCGAGTTGCTTTGAAGTGCTGCTGCATATGTATCTCGTGATTTTAATTAAATTTATTGTTAATCGACCTCTTAACATCAAATTGTAATTTAATCTTAATTAATTACATGGATAATTGTAAAAGTGAAATATAATATATAGTGACTGGCCTACCCTTATCGACAGCAGTTAATATAACAAAAATCAGAAGTGGATGTAAAATGGGGATTAAATGTTAATTGATTGATTTTTTTGCAAAGAAGCTACACACAAATTGTGCATTAATAAAAATGCTTAATGCCTTAAATTATAATTAACATATTGATGTGAGATGCATACATAATAAATTTGGAAATGTCCCACAAATCAATAAAAATCAAATTACCTAAAATTGGTCGGGATCCATATATGGGTGCTATTTCAAAACAGAGAAGACTTTTCATTATTTGAAAAATTGAGATACCGCATTATACAGACATAGTGTGGAAAATTGATCTGGGACCTCGAACATACTGATGTTAATGTAAAAAGATGGGCCCATATTAAAAACCTGTAAGTTCTAAAGGCGAATCATTGGTGGTTTGATTATATTGTGTGGTGTGTATAGTCCACTTTCGTTGTAGTTTGTTTACTGGTTGTACCTTTCCGCTGTCCAAGGATTAAGAGACCAAGGCCCATAAAACCAGTCGAGTTGGACGCGATATAAGAGCGGGTACGCAACAGTAATTACCGCATGTATTAAGTGCTTTGTCAGTTAACGAGTTTATACCCAATTTTTGGGTAAATACTCAAAATATGGGTGCCTTTGTATGGGGCTATATCAAAACTTGGACCCAGGGACCCGATTTTCCATTTCAATATTTGCTTTGACATTAAAAACATGTAAGCAAAATTTTGGCCGTCTATGTCAAATTGCAGACACATCGGTTGGAAAATTCGCCCCATAAAGGTTCCCTTCCCAAAAACAACAAGCCAACCGTTTTTTAAGGTATCTTCGATTAAGACACCTTCAAAACTCGGGTTTTGAACGCTTCAATGTATGGAGCTATATCAAAACTTGGACCCAGGGACCCCATTTCAATATTTGCTTTGACATTAAAAACATGTAAGCAAAATTTTGGCCGCCTATGTCAAGTGGTAAGGCAGTTAATGAGCTTATACTCCATTTTTGGGTAAATACTCGGGCAATTACCCAAGTATTAGATTTCCTTTCATGAACGCCGAATGGCAAATTGCAGACACATCGGTTGGAAAATTCGCCCCATAAATGTTCCCTTCCCAAAAACAACATGCCAACCGTTTTTTAAGGCGTCTGCGATTAAGACACCTTCAAAACTCGGGTTTTGAATGCTTCAATAGCATCCGTATTTGTTCTTGATATGTGGAATTAAAATAAGCCATTGGAAACAAGGCATGGCAGTACGGCGGACTTTCAAGGTGGTCAATAAGGTCCAGAGTGCTGGTGTTATCATTGGGGCACAATGATTCGTTCTCTTTTGTTGGTTTTTCGAATTTGTTATATAACTTCAGGTAAACAAATTGTGGTTTACCACTCAGAATCTAAACTATACATGGCCATATGTCAAAGGGTATTGAGTAAATTTATCCTATAAAATACAAAAAATTCAATATTATTATATTAATAATATTAAGAACATTTTGTCTTTTATTTCTTTTGATCATTTACGTCCTCGATTCTCCTTCGAAAAATAATTTATCTACAAAATTCTGCAATGCTCAAAAACTTTTCACATTTTAATTTTTGATGGCCTTCAATTGAGGCATCTGCGCCTGCAACACCGATGATAAGTGAATAATTTAAAACTTTGTTGGATGGCATTGAAATGAAAGACTTGTGCGACAAAGAAATCAATTGTCAGTGCAGCGGTTAAATTGTGACAATTTCAACATGATTAGAATCTTGTATTTTTTGTGAGATTTTTGCATGCCTTTGAAGATTTGTAACAAAGAGTATTCAATGAATGTGCAATTAAATTTGAATGTAAATTATTTAATCAGAAAAAAACGTTTAAACATTTAAAAAAAAAAATGTGTAATATGTCATATAAATGGAAGGCAGTTAATTTGTAAATCCAATATCAAGCTGATGGACAATTCGATTTGATGCAAACCTTGTACATCATTTTACTAAACCTAAATGGAAGCAATTTAACATTTTGGATTCTCAATGGGCTGAGATGACCTTCATAATGACATTTATCTATCATTCATCATTATCGTTTAGAAGAAGCATTTAAAGCGGCAAGTTGTTGGATAATCAATATCACAGTTTATCCAATGTTAATATTGAAAAGTATTGATGCCCAATTGAGATTCTGTTGTAATTTCGATAGAAAAATGGTTTCAAGAAATCTTTCATTTTTTGTTAAAATTTAAAAGAAATAAAATAATCTTCATCAATCAAATCGCATTTTTTAATAAAATTTTTAACGATCTGTAGTCCAATTTTCAAAATAATTTATTCTGAAAGATATTTCCTTTGTTTCAAATCGTTCTGTTTTACTGGCCATAATAAATATTTCTCAATAACAATAGTGGTTAGATAATTCTAACACCTTGTAAAATTAATTTAGCCACCTAAATTAAAATATAAAACAAATAAATGAAATAGAATTTCACACATTTTTTATGAGACCTTGAACCCAACTATAAATTACTTTGCCAATCACAAATCTAATCATGCTTAAGATTTTAAGTGAGTATTAACAGACGTAGATTTGCATCACACTCAGTTTCATGCAGCCAGCCAGTCAGCCATTCGTAGCGATACGGCACGTCACATCGAGTAATATTTATCTTTTTTTTTTCGTTTACAATCAATTCTCAAATCTCAGGCAAGTACCCAGGCGTACAATTATCTCGAAATCTGAATGCATCTCGACGAAGTAGAAGGTTTACTTAGTCATCATCTGACTTTTTTGCCATTCGACTGGAACGAGAAAAATATTCATCTCCAGAGTTTGTGGGGGCGGAGGATGTAACATTAATACAAAGACCTATTTTTCCCAAACCCCTTTATTTGTGTGTGTGTGTGTGTGTGCATTTTCGCTTTACTTTTAGACGAGGCAATTCACTGGCGTTCATTCAGATACTCATTATATCTGTTTTTGTTTATTTTCCCAATAGATTAATTTATAGCAACAATAAACCACAACAACAGCAGCAGCAACAACAACAACAGCATCAAGTGCAGCAACAAGCACATCATCATCACCATCACACGTCAAGAGAAAAGCTAACAAATTGCAGTGGAGGTGGCAGCGTAAACGGCAGCATTGCTGGCGGGGCTGTTAGTTCTGCTCCATCCGTTGATGTCGATGCTGAGGAGCAAAGCAACGAAAGTGTAGCCGAGACTTGCGAATCGCATCAGCAACAATTAAAGCATTACAATCAACAGCAGCAACAACAACAGAAATCTCACTCGCACTATCATCAACATTATCACGAAACCGTCCAGCCACAACAGCAGCAACACGCCGTGAGTGCGGCATCTGTGGCCAACGACTATTACGATCATCTAAAACGTCTAGACAAATTGGCGTTGGGGCTTGTGGCCGAACAATTGCATCCGTGGCACAACGACAAAAGCGATTTAGAAAGTCTCAATTCTGATTATTTCAAAAACTCACTGCATCAATCGCATGAACTGAAACCGCAACAACAACACCACCACCAATACGAAATTGAGGCCTTGGAACAGGCCGTGAATTTGTTGACTCAGGATAAACCTAGAATTTATCAGTCGCGTCGTCAGAAACGTCATAGTGTGGACAACGTTCACAAATTGACTCATTCTGCCGCAGCCAGTGGCGGCGAATCCTGTCCCGAAAATAGTCAAAGCAGTGTCTTCCCTGAAACCACAACCAGCAATTCGGATGATCAAAGCGATAGTGGCTCCTTGTCCGAGCAGGAATACGATATAACGAAGATAGAAGAGATTTACCAGAAGACCCGCATAGAGGGCGACGCAGACAGTTACGAAATTATCAGCTTAACGACTACGACCAGGACACGCTTCGAGTCAACAGGGGACGAGTGTGAAAACGAGGATCACACCCATCATAGGCATTTGGATGAGTGCGACTATACTCGGGATCAACACGAATATAGCGATCACATTGAAGAAGGGGAGGAGGCAGAGGATTCAAATCAACATACCACAACTGATACGGAAGTTGAGGGTACTCTCAAGAGGTCCAGAGCTGTGAGTGAGAATCTACAGAAAATCATAGCCTATGATTCCGTGTATCTGTCATCGGAGGAAAGTTCCGATAGTACTCTAGTCGATCCGGATACTTCTCTGGAAGTGACTAGCCTACGTACCTGCATAGACGAAGTTGAAACTGTTTTGCACATCTCCATTGAGGATGCGGTCTATGAGCCGAAGGCTAAACTGAATAAACTCGACATTGAATTGGAGTGTGGCAACGAAGGTCCCATTGGTTTTGTAGAGACTGTTAATACAAAAATCGAAATATTGGAACAGGACTCGTGTGAGGAATTGGAACCTGAGGAGGTGACGCCTGTATACACACAAATACTAAAAGTCGAGCACACCCCCTCTGCGATTAACCCAAATACGGTAATTACCACAGCTCCCGTGGGAGTAACCTCCAGTGCAGCTAGCAAACCAAAAATTCTCTCCGTTGTAGAGAAACGGAAACTCAAGCGGTATTCAGATTCGGCATATTCCTCGAATGTCAGCGATTCGTCGGAACGTACCTATGGCAGTTACCCGTCAAATGAATCGACAGCTTTTAGCCACCATTTAAAGCGACAAGTGGCAGAACCTCTATATATTCCGCTAAAATCGAATTTGGGGGATAATCAATATCACAGTTTGCCGGATGTTAATATTGGACAGATCTTAAGGGTATCCGAAACTATTGATGCTCAATTGAGATCCTGTTATAATTTCGATAATTATCGTTCACTGGATAATAGCGCGGTTTTAGAAAGTCACGTAAATGAGTCGAGTATTGCTGCAAGCAACGATTTACTTACGAAAGATGTTCGCTGTCTGAGTAGACGTCAGAAGCGTGAAGATACTATAACTACAGAAGATATTTATGATTCTATAAAACGTTTTGGCAGAGCTCATCAACGTTATCGTCAAAAGGAAAGTCAACAGCAGCAACAAAAACAACAACAGCAGCAGCAACGACAAGAACACCAGCAATCCAAAGATAATATCAACACAACGAATGGGGACAATATTGAAGTGGAGGAGAAGGAAGTGCAAAGTAAGGGTAAGTGGCATATTTGACAATTAGGAGTTTTTAAAGCCTGGAACTGATTGCTATTTTGACGGTACAAATTTATAATCAGATTTCCTGTATCCTTATTGTTGGGCTCAGTATTCTAAATTATGTGTGCATAGCAAATCATAGCAGCATTATTTTAATGGTCCTAAGCACAAATTCTAATCAAATCGACTGCAATTTTTAAATGCTTAAGATGGAGATAATACTACATACACATATTCTATCCTATTAACTTGACAATTTAAATTATACTTTTTTTTATTTTCTTTGAAAACAGATCTAAAACAAAATTCTGGAATTCAAAAAGGAAAAGCTGAAATTAAAATCCAAGAAGATAAAATCGATACACCAGATAATTCGACACAAACCAAAATTACAACATATCCAACAACAAAAATTGAGGAAAACAACACTGAACCAACTTCCCTGGAATGCCATTTGGAAGCAAGTCAACCTACAACCCTTAACGACCCATACGATAGCTTCGAAAAACCCAAAGAAGCTCCACAAATAACAATTGAAAATTTTAGTCAGCAAATAGAGCGTAGAGCCAAAGAAATACGTCAAAGCGGCAGACGTAATAAACAACAGCAAATTGAATTTGCTAATCGAGCTAAATTTCGCTTAGAGAACACCTTAACGAGTTACAAAGAAAACGAGGAAACCGTCAACCGAGCGACAACACACCAAAGTAAAACAACAACACTTCCATCAGCACCACCACCTCCGCCAGCTCCTCCATTCCGCATTGTTGTAACGGATGCCCATAACAATATTATTGAGGAGGATTCTATAGAGAGTCGGGAAAACTATACCATTCTAAGAAACTCAAGCCCTGACCAGGAAAATCCCAAACAAGTCCAAGAGCCCGACGAAGAAGAAAAGGAAAATTTTAATTCTGTTAATGTGCGACGAACACGAAAAGAAGAATCACAAAACGATTTGCAAGTTATTAAATTGAACAAGGAACGATCGAATAGTCGGCAGAGCTCACTTCGTAGAGCTCCATCTAAGCCCAAACGCCAACAGTACCCAACCCACGTAGCCCATCTAAACGGCAACGATACGAAAAAGTCACTGGTGTCGTCACCCAAAAGTAAGGAGCGACGTGTCCTAAGCAACCAAATTTATCGAGCACGTCCCGTTAAAGTGATTACAACAACAGACTCCTTCCGACGCAGCAAAGTTAAACAGACAGCCAGCAAAATGTCACGACCTCAGATACTCCAAGTAATCGATAACAAGAGAAAATCACACGACAATGGGAACCCCACCACTGTCACCACCAACCACAACGATGGCAATCACGTGGAGGAGGAATACCTCAAAAAGGTTGATGCTGTACGTTGTTATTGGTCTAAATTGGTTAACGAGGAAGAACAACCAAATCATCAGGTGGAGAAATTAGAACAGCAATCGCCAAAAGACTCCGGTCACAGTGAGGATGCCACAAAAGAAACAGCAAAACCCCAAATTGTTTCTACGGAAAGGGAAAAAGAAAATTGCCAAATAAACAACAACGACACTAGTACGCCAGCAATGCAACCTCCCGAGAAACGACATTTCATATTGGGTGCACAATCGACAACTAATCCTTCGGTTACTCCAGTCAACGGCACAACAAAGCAGCATACCAATGCTGCTGGTCAAGACCACCCCGCCACCAAACATAATCCCGACGATTACTGCAGTTTCATGCCCAGCATTGAAATCGTCGAACTGGATGGTGACAAAAAGGCGACCATTGTCAGTGCGGTGCCAGCCAATGCCACTGCAGATGATACACTAGACGCCACCGAACCACAGTTCGATCATATCCGTTATAAGGTCATGAAGTCACAGCAGTTATTACGCAGCAATCTCTTGGCACGCAACACCAAGGAGGCACAATTCGACGGCCTCATTCAGTACTTGCAGGAATACAGTTTCCAAGAGTTGTTATCCAACAATAATGTAGTCATTGTGGAGCCAGTAAGGACCAAAATAGAAAGGCCATTAGGCACCGCCTCAACCTCCTCTTCCTGCCTGGGATTTGGTAAAAATGCCAAAGACAAGCGGACAAATGGCGATGGTAAACAACAGCCAGAGGCTGGTTCAGCTGGCATTGTTGGTGAGATCGATGAAAGCCGTTGTCGAAAGCAACGCACCAACAGCACTTCGAGCAGCACGGCGAGCACGGGTGGAGGTGGTGGCGGCGGCATAAAACGACACTTTTTCTATCAACCTGTGCGTGTAAATCGTGAACTGTACGAGGAGGAATTACCAAATCCCGACACAGTGCGAAATGTGCGTAAGTTTTTCGAGGAACACATTTTGCCGACACCGGGTCAAGGTCTTCTGACGACAGCTGCAGTGGCAGTCTCAACGACTGCAACGGGTACGGCAACAATTACAACAACTACGACAACAGCCACCCTGACAAAAACCACACACAAAAACAGCGGCAATGGTATTTCGGGCAAACAGGCGAGTCCGAAATCTCGTCGGACTAGAAAATATCGTTACCTGACCATTGATACATCATATGGTCATGCGGCAGGTGGCAACACCACAGCTAAGCTACAACAACGTCGGCAACAGGAAGAAAAAAACAACAACAATGCCCGACAATCACGTAAATGGGACACTGCAAGCCTGTCGAGTGGTGTTTCGAGTGGAGATTTATCATCACCCTGCGAGTGTAACGAAACCACCGATGCCAAAGCTGATGACGGCAACACCAATTCATCATCGAATGAAAAATTCGAAGGTGTCCATGTGCAGGATATTGTGAAACAACATAATGGGGTATCGGGTAAGAAGTCTCGTGTATCGGCTACCGGCATACCAGTGCGATCGTCGAGTGTTCGTACCCGCAGTGCAATTGCCGGTTCCGCGGCCTATGCCAGTCTACACAAGAAATCAAATAAACAGAGCATGTATCGTAATATTTATGAATATCATGCAATTCATCGTCAACAGCAGCATCCAGATTCCGATGATCAGACGACAGCCTCGGCAGCTGATGAGGGCAATGATGCGGACGATGATGATGATTTGTTTGGAGATATCGATGATGATGGCAATGAGCTGTGCGATACCTATTATGTTAGTAATGTAAGTTAATTACATGCATTTCAATGAATGTTACCCAAATACGCATTGCATATAAAAATATAAAGTTGAAATTTTTCAACATTGACAATGCGTATTTTGATTTTTTTTTGTTTTTTGAATATAGAATTCCAGTCATTCAAAATTTTGTTTTTTGTAAATGTAAACATTTTTGGATTAATTAAGAATGAAAACAATTTTCGCCATTTTCAATTGACAAAAAATAAGGTCCTTACGTATTTGGGTAATACGGACGTTCAACGGGCCTAATGGATCGAAACGAGTGAATTATTACTAAACTTTTGTTAAAGTTAAAAATTTCTGATTCAACATTGATAGAGATGGCATATTTTTGATACTAATAAGTTTGACCGTATAAAGGAACCGATATATGACTTATGTTTTGAAGAAACACAATTTTGGTAAAATCTAAACCAGATTTGAACCTCTATTTTGATTAGCCACATTTGTCATCGCATTATAAGGTAAAGGTTTTAATAATTGGTATGGAGTAACATTCGATTTTTTAGAAGTAAGAACATCTTGCCTCAGATATATTATTAGGTACAAACAAGTGGAATTTGTAGACAATTTTATTTTAGAGGTCAATATTTCTAGCTCACCACATAGAAGTGCAACTCGCTCAGCACAAGTACAGGTTGCGTATGATTAACGACGTGCTGTATTAACTCCGCAAAATCGATGTGTCCCTTATGCTGGACAACTGAATCGAATTAGAACGTAACATGTAAGGCAATATAGGGTATAACGACATTGCCAGATTTCAATACCAACATTTTATGTAAATTCTCCCAATGTGTCGTCCATGCCATTAAGAATGGCGATAAAGCCAAACTTTGATTAACATCCACTACTAACAACGTTGTGGTCATTTGTCATCTCGTTTGTAGAATGATTGCAAAAGCTATAGCTATAGAAAACGTCATATGAAAAAAAAACAACGAACTGAAGGACATCGTACATCACTTGTTATCCTAACAAACTATGACAAAAACGTAACAAATGAAAACAGGATACATCAAAACATCCGTCAACACATGACTGGCAGCGAATAATGTTATTAACCAAGTGTGGCGGAAAAAAGGAAATTCTACAAAAAAAAAAAAAAAAAAAAAAAAAAAAAAAAATCACAAAATCACCACTCATAAATAAAATAGTTTTTTTTTTCTTTTGCTGAATACAATTTGTAAGGAGAGAAAATTCGAGGAATTGGCGTTTTTAATGGAAATAATTAGGTGATATAAATTTTTCTCTAGAAGAGGTTAGCTGAATTGATTCCGTTCATAACAAAAATGTATATAAATTGGGGTATTTTAAAGAAAAACACTGCGGAATCGCCATTTACTTTAGAATATGATAGCTGAATTGATATCAACTATATTAATAGGTAGCTGAATTAGGTTATTCTAAATAAGCCCCTTAATAAATTGAGTATTAGTAAAAATAAGCCATGCTAAATTTTTGTAAAAAAATATCTTGCTGTATTGAGCTTTAACAAAAAAAGGACATCACTGAAAAACTTTGCTGAATTGAAAAAAGTAAATTCCACAGAATAAATAACAATTTTATAATTAAAATTTGGAAACCGAGAAACTTTGCGGAATCAGGATTTTCAATGGACACAGTACATTGATTTTTTTCTTAACAAAAAATGTAGAAATAAATTGAGTTTTAATAACAAAAACATTACTTAATTGAGCTTAAGTAATGAATAAATCACCACTCATAATCAAAATAGAATTTGTAAACAGAAAAACTTCAGTTTTTTACGAGAAGAAGCTAGCTGAGTTGATTTTTTTCCTACAAACAATTCTCTAATTAATAATTGTCATTTATCTTAGAATATGGCAGCTGAATTGATATCAACTGTAGAAAAAGATAGCTGAATCAAGTGTTCCTACATAAATGAGTAATAAATAAGCCATGCTGAATTGATTCTTGTAATAAAAAACCTTGCTGAATTGACTTTTTATAATGAAAAACGTTACCGAAGAGAAAACATAAATTCTACAGAATAAATCACCACTCATAATTAAAATAGAATTTTTAAACAGAAAAACTTTGCGGAATTGGGATTTTCAATAAAAAAATTAGGTGACTTCAGTTTTTCTCTAGAAGTTTGCTGAATTGATGTTTTTTCTTAACAAAAATAAATGCCTTACTTAGTTGAGTATTAGCAAATAAATAAGCCATGCTGAATTGGTTTTTGCAACAAAAAACCATGCTGAATTGAGTTTTAATAACAAATAACATCATGAAATTGTGTTTTCGTGAAATGAAAAACGTTGCTGATTTAAGGTTTTATAACGAAAAATGTTATCCAAAATGCATTTTTCTTTAGAAGAAGTTAGCTGAATTGGCATTTTCATATGAAATATAATATTTAAATTAATATTGCATTACTAAACTTTAATATTTATAGACAGCCTAAAAGTATGCTAAAATATTGACATTTTTTGGATTCATTGTGATCATTAAAATTATTTTTTTCTTAATTTTTAGATTTGTGTATTTTAAAATTTTAGAACATTGTTTTGTGAAAGAGGATTATTATTTTTGAAAAAGTTAGAGGGTTCAACTTTCCGCGCATTCCTAAACTTCTTTTTTTCGAAAAACTAAACAAAATGTAATTGAATTGTTCTACAACCATGTCCATTTTGTTAATTCATTTGCAGGATGTTTTGCGCAAAATTCGTGAATGTGGCTCCTCGGTTACTTATTATGGCGGACGGGTGGTACAGACCAATTCATATTCTGCTCCACCAAATGTTGGAAAAACTTTAGCCGATTGTGGCAAACCAACATCGACTAATCCAATTGTTCCCACAACAAAGCCGAAACACAATCAAACAACAATGTTAGCACAGACACAAACTAGGGCCAGAGTTCGTGAAATTGAGACCTGTTCCAATGCAGTTTGTCAAGCGTCTAATGAATGCTTAAGCAACAATAGGAGCACAAACAACAACAACAACAATGGCAAGAATACTAATAATGGCTGCAGTAATGGGAACAATGGCAACAGCAACAATAACAACAACAACAGTTTGCCACAACAAACCAAAATCCACTTAACAAGGGACGATAACCCACAAAACAAAGACTCGAAATCCTCTCAGCTCCAGTCGCCACCATCAAGCCACCGCCAAGGACAAGCGAACGACACAATGGCCAGTGACAGTAGTGACAATGCCAACCGCAATAACTCTTATGTTGAGGGTAAGTAAAGTAGTAATCTGAGTGACATCAGAGGCAATTATTCTCAGTTTAATAATACCCTGCATTTACTTTATCCTTCCATTTCGGTTCATTTTCACTTCTCTTTTTTATTTTTATTAATTTGCCTATCGATCTGATTGGTATGGAGATAGGCAGTGGCATCAGTGGTGGTGGTGTAACTTTCAAACTTGTCAAATCGAATAGCTGTAGCAGTCGCTTGGAATTAGCCGGCACGGATGTCGATATCATTGAGCAGGGCGAAGAGACGGAAGTTGTGCGGAAGATGGTTCATCATTTTGAAGCCAGCACAAAGAGTAAGCCCACTACTGCCGCAACAGATGTTCCAGTGACGATAAACAATCAGGCACCCCTCTGCCTAGATGGTCCAAAGCTAGGGACGGAATCTAAGCCAGTTACTGTGAATAATCACATCAGTATTGGCGTTGGTATTTTATCGCCTTCGACAAATGATGAGGCGTCATGCGGCCAAGAAAACGGAAGCAAAGAAGACGAACCGAAAACCTATCAAAGTGAGGCCAAGGATATTCATTTGGACAAAAGTGCGCACACGGCTGTCGCTGGAAATGCTGCCACCAATGAAATGGGTGGAACATTGAATGGCAAAGTGTGCCGCAATAGAAATGTGGATTTAGCCTTTACATTTGTCAAACAACAACAGCAGCAGCCGAACCAGCAATCGGCAAAATCTATGGGGATTAAAGAAAATGAAAATGGCAAGAAAAATCACAAACAAACAAATGGCGATAAAACACACACTTCAACAAATATTTCACAAAATTTGGCAATTTCCCTTGAATCGGCAAAGGGCAAAGAAGCTGGCCCAGTCATGTCGAAAGCTAAGGATTCGTGTAAATGGCCCACAGGGAATTTTAGAAGTGATGTAGACAACAACAGCAACACCACATATGCTCCTCCCGAACAAATTATTGTACCCGTGGAAATTCATCGAGAATCAAATGAACATTTTCCCCTAACGAAAAACTCCCCACACTCGCACAAAACTGCCGACACTGAACGCTCTTTCCTGCCGCTGAGTACCACTTCAAGTGTCACATCCGTTATTGACAAATCCGTAGTTAAACATTATGTGGCCAATGACCGTAGTATCTATGAGAAGCGGAAATATGATGACATCGAATTTGAAGAGTTCGAAGTTTATGATCCAACCAAAGATTTTGAAAAGCTCATTCAAGAGGAGGAGGCCAAACGCCAGTGTGAAAACAACAGCAGCACCGCTGGCAACGTGGAAAGTCAACAATCATCCAACACCTCATCAATGCGAACGGCAAAAAGTCAACAGACAACAGTAAATGGTTCAACGGAAACGGAAACCGATTGCTACGATAGCCTAGACGACAAGTTGTAAACGTCAAATTGTCGATAACATTAAGTAAAACAATTTAAAACATTTTTATATACCAAAAAAATACAAATAACCTATAAAGAACATTTTTAAGATACGCAAAAACGCAACAAAATTATAAATTCTCAATTATGGTGCAACGATATGGGTGTAGGGTCTGATAAATATGAACCACTTATTTTCATAGACAACAAATTTTAGTTCTAATTTACTTAAGACAGCGAACAAAGTTTGCTCAATTTCCAATTAAATGAAAAATTGCACACATACCAAAGTTCCAGTATAGTTTAATATATATATATACGAAAACAACTACAGACATTATTTATGCGTGTATGTATGTGTGCTGCCGGCATGTACGAAAGTATGTATGTATGTCCCTTGTACTATATTATATTGTAATTGTAATTGTCATCGATATTTACTTTATTATACAATTTCTCTTTCTCTCTCTTTTCATTTAATGCTGATAATGTTGTTGTATTTTCCTTTTTGGTTGATAATCAATAAATTCATATTCTTTTAATATTAATTACCCGTATAAAAAATGTCCTGTCCTTCATTCAATGGCATCTGATCAATGTGGTATGTATTGTGGGAAATTTATTTAATTTTTGCAGCTGTTGTTTTTTCTTAATTACAGTTTGTTTTATTTTATTTAGTACATTTATCATTCGTTTGTCTGAATTTAAGAGATGTCATTGACTTAAAGTGAAATTAATCTGCTCAAGGATTTCGTCAATTATGAGAAATAAGAAAACTTCAAACTGCTTATTGTATTACAATTTTATCGAAACGCAAATTAACCTAAGCCGAAACTTTTGTTTAAACAGTACGATGATGGAAAGCAAGAATGTCTACCCGATTAAAGAATAATTAGGTATATGATATTGTAAACTATTTAGAATGTATAAATCGGTGTTGCTGACAGATATGTCATAAACGCAAAGAGTTCTGATTATTAATATGCGTCAAAATATAAACATGAAATGACGGTCAATTAAACAGATGAAGGTGAAAATTATTAGAAATTTTACGATTATCATCAAATATTTGGCATTTAAAACTCATAAATATGATTTTATGATAAAACTTATAAAAAAATTGAATTTCAGATACTTGTGCAAAAGGATAGTTTAAAGCTTATATCACCAATCGACGCCTTGATATGTTCAGAATTTTGCGACCGTTCATAAACATAAGTGTTATTGTTGATAATATGAAAAGAGTCGCTAAAAATTGCCTTTAAAAATGTAATAAAAAATTAAAATTGACTTTTACTAAATTTAAGTTCTTATTGTGTAGTACACATTCCTACAACAAATATCCATTTTGCTCCACTATTTGGGATATACCCCATAAAACGGCAACCCGTAATTTTGTTTCCTATACCCTCCACCACACTGTGGTACAGGGTATTATGTCTTCATGCTATGTTTGTCACAGGCAAAAGAAAACGAGATAGACACATGGTTCCTTTTGAGAATATGCAGAGAATCACTTTCTAAGTCGATTTATGAATGTCCGCCCGTCCATCTGTCCGTCCATTGGTATAGCGTACTGATTTGAGTCTAGAGTGGTGTGTGCTAAGTTTCGTGAAAATCGGTTCAGATTTAGATATAGCTCCCATATATAACTTCGTCCGATTTTATGTGAATGGTGCACCAAAGTTCTTTCGATTTGCACGAAGTTTGACAGAGCTTACTTAAATAAGTCTAGAATGATGTGTGGTAAGCTTCGTGAAAATCAGTTCAGATTTAAATATAGCTCCCATATATATTTTCTTCCGACCCAAAGTTTGTCCAATTGGCACACAATTTTGTACAAGTACTGAAGTCAATATAAATTAATCTCTGGCAGGTTTCGTTGGTGCACCAAACTCCTGTCCGATTAATACGAAATTTTGCACAACGTATCAAGTTGAGACTACAACGACGTTATTGTGTTTTTTTTTTGAAATTGGTGCAGACACATGCATAGTTTGGAACGGTTGTCTTTTATTTATGTAGGGGAGAGGGGGGCACCTTTGAACACTTTTTTCTTTCAAGCCTCATAAAATTGTTTATGTTATAATTTTTGGTTTCTTATAAGTTTTAACTAATAGGTACATACGTTACCTTTGAAATGAATATACATATGACATACTTTAAGCTTGATAAATATATTTTATTACTGTTTTAATGGACGAAGTCAAAGTGTTTAAAGCTGCCCCCCCAGGGGGGCACCTTTGAACAAAGTTTGGAATTTTTGAATGGCATGTTTTTTTAAAGTGTTTATTTATTTTATTTATTAAAAAAAATATATACAAAAATATTCGAAAATTAAAAAATGCTGATCAAAATTTATTAAAATATAAAATGACATAAAAACAAAAATTTATATGGTGAAAAATACAGCTAATTTCGCAATCTTATTAGCCCATTTGAAATTTTTGAGAAATCGAAGCCAAAAGTAAAAAACTCCGTTTTTTACTGGAGTATACTGGGTATGTTCAAAGGTGCCCCACCCATAGCATTTATATGTAAATTTATATGGAAATTTATAATAACTTTTTTTGTAATAAATATATGTAAAAGAAATTACATTAGTTATGTTTGAAATGATTGTTGGAATGCAAAAAATTTGTTTGACGAAAGAAAACTATCACAGAATTCTTCCTGCCCCCTTACAACCAAATGAATAAAAGTTTACAATGACACTGCGAAAACATGGTCACCCATGCACAATTTGTCGACAACTGAAAAAGCAAGGCAAAGTGGTTTACGCAGATAGAGAACAAGATTGCCATATACAAAAATGTGGTTGCGGGTCGGAAAATTTTTAAACCAAGATTTTATGAGCGCTGTTCAAAGGTGCCCCACGTTCCAAGGTGCCCCCCTCTCCCCTACTGATATGTATGTGAATGTACCTTCCACTCCTCATTTTACGATTGTGACTTAATTTGACTCAAAAAGTGGTATAAAGTTATGTGGTCGAATTTTGAGGTATTTTTGTAAATTTATTGGTCCTATCAGGACTTCGGGTCAGGTCAGGTCAGTAGTGCATGGGCTATGAAAGTATAAAGGAAAAAATTGAGAAACATACGATAGTAAGTGGATTCATGGCATTAAGGGAGTGGACCAATATGACAAATTTTCGGAACAATCTAGATTTACTATTTTTAAAGTTCTAATTGTTTTCTATGAGTTTTCAGATAATGATTATTTTTACTAAAATTGAATTTAAAATTGTTCTTCAAAAAAATTTAAAGTTTCTCATATGAGCTAAAAGGTAAACCAAAATTCGAAGATTTTTTTCTTTAACTGAACGTAACGGCAAAAATTACAAAAAAAAAAACATATTTAGCAATTTAGTTCTTCTTGGTCTTAGCATGACCCAGAAAATTGTTCCCAAAAAAACGGACAGTCCAAATTTTGAAAGTGCAATAATAATGCTCGATATTTTTTATTTATGTAGTGATAGTTTAAAGTTAAAAATGCCCACACAATTCGGAGAGTTTTCCCATTATTAGCAATGATATCTAAAGTTATGTATTGTAAAAAATATAAATAATAAATAAAAATAAATTTATTTTTTATTTTTATTTTTTATTTTTATTTTTTTTTTATTTTATTTTTATTTTAAATTTAAAATAAAAATTTAAATTTAAAATAAAAATAAATTTAACATTTAATTTGTTATTTTGCCTCCGAAAGTCGTGTAAGTGACCGCGGAAATGCCCCTATACTCAACATCCGTAAATCTAGTGTTATATGATGTGTTTCCATATAACCATACCTCTTATATAGACTAAAAGTCTATGTTGATTCCTTTCCGTCTGTCTGTTGAAATCACGATAGAGTTCGCAATATTTAAGATTAAGTTTTGTACAACTGCAATATGCAAATTTATATAATACTAGAAAATAAAAAGCATTGGCTTTCATATTTTGTCCAATGTTCCAATTTCACTTCAAACTAAATTGCTGCATTTATATTCAAAACAAAATGTAAAAAAAATAAAAGTTGAAAACAACAGTCATAAGTCCTTAAAAACATTTGCCACGACTCCATTACAGCTGTCAGCATGTTCGGTTATATTTGTTCCAGAGCAGTCTTCCCGTTAAACTTACCTGAGTTTGAGTCTTCACTGGTGTTTGTGCAATAACTTTGTCGTCCTCTAAAGTTCCATGAATTCTGGAAAAAAAAAAATAGGAAAAAAACAAATGTTAAATATGATAGAAAAACGAAATCAGCTAGAAAAACATGTGCGCCGGAATAACTTTTATTCATGGTATGGATTCATTGTGTAAGAGTTAGTGTGTGTGTGTGTGTGAAAATAGTAGTTTCCAAACAAAAAGTATACATTTCCTCAAATGATTTTCATGATAGAATCATGGAACACACATCTAATGTTCACATTTTAAAGATATCTATCAGAAGTAAACACAATCATGTGAACAAACATATAGACAACAGTTACAATCAGGTATTACATTTACAGATACATATAGACATTCATTCAGTTGTAACGAAGTAGCAACAAAACGTAATGGACAAAATTGATGGCGAAAAGAAAACTTTTTTTCACAAATCGAAAAATTTGATCTGTTATTGAAGAAATACAAGAAATCAATACCCGCTAGTTCGACAAAACATCAATTGACGGGTTTTCTATAGTAATTTCGTCGATTACTTCCTACAGTACTTACTTATGTATCCACTAGTATAATACGAATGATACTATTGATACTATTCATAGCATACACCATTAATGATTTTGATTTAAGGGTATGTACTTATTTCAGTATCCCAAAGTAAATGAACGGTTCGTCGATTGTATCAACTGCGCCTTACCATGGGATACTTAAGTAAGTACACATATTCTTTTTTTCTCTTTGTTCGATTCCGTTATTTTCTGGAATGTGTGTGATGCAAAAAAAAGCTTGGTGGTTGACAAATTTCATTTACTCTTTGATCAACAATCCAAGTGTTTAGTCATAAATTGTGTGTGCTCCCACCAGTGAAGTAATAAAATATAAATTGGTTTGTAAAATTTGACAGTTTTGTGTTTTTGTTTAAAGGTAAGTAAAATGATTAGCAAACGGCATTTAAAAAGATTAATAAAGAATGAAAAGGAAAAATATGTGGACAGATTTATGAATGTTGAGATAGGAAATATGGACAACACCTCCAATAATGAAAATGCTTGTTATGAAATTGAAGATGCTGACTTAGTGGAAACTGAAACAGAACAAGTGGAAGAATTGGAATGTAATAGTAATGCACAAGAAAGTCAAAATTTAAGCATTAGCCAAAAATTGAAGGAATGGAATGTAAAACACAGACCATCACGAAGTTGTGTAAAGGACCTTATTGAAATATTAAGAGAGGAAAATATAGCTGTTACTCCATTTTATAAGTTCCATTGCCCGAATAGACCGATAGTGGAAAACATTGCTGGTGGTGCATACATGCACATTGGTTTGTCGTTCCATTTAAAGAGGATAGCCGAAGTATTAAATCTACCCACAAATATTATCATTGATATAAACGTAGATGGTTTGCCACTTTTCAGAAGTTCCAAGACACAGTTGTGGCCAATATTAATAAGAATTACAAATGTAGAGAGTCAACCAGTATTTCCAATTGGCGTTTTCGTTGGAAAAAGTAAGCCAGCGACATGTGAGGAATTTCTTTCTCGTTTTATTGATGAAGCATCACCATACTTGGAAACTGGCATAGAATTAAATGGCCGTAAAATTAGCATTAGAGCAGTTCTTTGTGACGCACCTGCCCGTGCATTCATTACAGGCACTCCTTCTCATGCATCACGATATGGATGCTCAAAATGTACGCAACGAGGAAAGAAATGTGAGGGAACATTAACATATAGCACAACATCGGAAATACTTATTTCAGATGAAGATTTTCGTGTGCGAAAATATCCTCATCATCACACGAAGAAGTACTTAACCCAAAAAACGCCATTAGAATTCCTTAATGTGCGAATGATTACCCAAATACCATTAGATTGCATGCATTTAGTGGATTTAGGCGTAATGCGAAAAATTTTGTTAAGGCTTATTAATAAGAAAATTTGTTTTCCAGCGCCAAGGGAAAATTTGCAAAACATTTCTAAAAAACTTTTATCTCTGTGTGGTCATATTTCATCCGAATTTGCACGAAAGCCACGATCATTGGATGATATTTCATATTGGAAAGCCACTGAGTTCAGACAGTTTTTGTTGTACACAGGTGTTGTAGTTTTAAAAGACGAAATACACGATGATGTGTACTATGAATTTTTATTGTTACATTGTTCTTACAGAATGATGTGCTGTCCCAAACACTGCAGGAAAAATTTGGATACAATTGAAATTCTCCTCAATTTATTTGTACAAAATTTCCCGCTAATATTTGGTGGAAATAGTGTTTCGTACAATGTACATAATCTACTTCATTTAAAAGAAAGTATTGACCTCATTGGTAATCCAACTGAAAATTCGTGCTATTCGTTTGAAAATTATTTACAAAGTTTAAAAAAATGCGTAAAAAGGCCATCAAAGATTTTAGAACAAATTTATAGGAAGGTTTGTGAAGAAAAGTTTTGCACCAAAACACAATACAAAGGTCTTAATGCACACGAAACCAAATTTCATTTTAAAAGTTGTACTTTGACTTCGAAGGCACCGGATAACATCTGTTATATTAAAAACGGAATTCCTGTTCATATTCATGAATTTTCGCAAGAAAATGGAGGAACCCTCATTGGACACAAATTTTTAAATATTCGTAGTTTTTATAAAGAACCGTGTGATTCTATTTCATTAGGAATTTGTTTAGTTGACTCCAAACTTTCTGACGAACTTCATAACTTTCCATTAAGTGAAGTAGAATGTAAAGCAATTCGATTTCCTTATAATTCTCAATCTGTATTGATTCCTATTCTACACGCCTGTTTTTAATACCTTTTTTTTATTTACACATTAAGAAAACTATATAGCATGTCTTCTTCACCGAGCCCACCAAAAAAAATAAAACGCGTAACATTAACACCCTATTCTGAAAGTAAGTATTTGTTTATTTTATATTTAATGGGATTTTTTCTAAATATTCTAACTTTATTCTAATTTCAGACATACCTACATCAAATACTAACCTCAATGATGTTTTAAAGACAATTGAGGGTGTCAAAAAGGATACAGAATCCTTACAAAACCAATTTAACGTCCTTCAAGGTAATTTTTTAATAAGAATATTTTCAATAAATTATTTATATATATATATAAACATACAATCTTAGGACAGATCAAGTTTGTTGCAGAAGCACTGGCTGAAAATAAAGTATTATTGACCAAAATTTTAAAGCAAACATACGAAGAAATTCCGGTAATACAGAAGTTTCCAATAAAATCTGAAGAACAATTAATTGAAATTGACAAGGAAATAAATGCTGAAAATAGAAATCAATATGTAAGATATTTCATCATTTTTATTATAAATATGAATAGCTATATAACAAGTTTATCTTTAGATAAAAGCACTGAGATCAATGCTAGAACCAGCCGGTGTTCACAAAAACTTAAAATGCATCCTAAACGACAATGTTACCATGGCCTACAATGTCGACGGTGTTCAAGGGAAGAAAAGTTTTAAACAACTTAACAACTTTTATGGTGTTCTGTTAGGTAAGCATAATTATAGTCTTAAAACCCGATATAAATAATACATTTATATTTTTTTCATTTTCAGAAGCGGTCTCAATGGCCAAAACAAATAATATTGGTCCAGCGGATGACCAAATTCGGAAGGCAATTCAATTGCAGAAAAGGAGAATTTTTAAAAATATGTCGGTGCAAAGACATGCTGATCAAAAATAAGCCAGACAAATAAATTTCAGACGTTTATTTTCATTATTTGAAGTATTTTTGGTTTTGTTTTAAATAAATAATTTTGTATTTTTTGAATTAAATATGTGGATTTTGATTTCATAGGGACCTTCTGCATAGTACTGTGTATGCAGAATTCGTTTATTATTAATCATTAACGAAGTAGATCATTATTCATCGTTAACGAAGTAATTTATTATTCATTGTTAACGAAGTAGTTCATTATTGATGATAAACGAATAGTCACTGAACTTGTCATTACTGTTTTCGTTAATGGAAGGTAAACGAGAGGGTGACGATTACATACCTCCAATGACATCCCCATGTTAAATTCGTCACTCAAACGCGTGGCTAGTGTATTGGCGAGTAGGTACTGGTACTTTCTTTTGGAACAATGGTATAAGTACTTATGTAGTGCTTACCCGAACAAGCGGGTAGGTTCAGACGACATATACACAAACATGAAACAATTTCATCAGGCCGAGACATGTGTTTGAACAAAAAATATTAAAAAAAGGAAAAAAATTGTTAGAAAACTCAAATGTAACAGCACTTATTAGGAGATGCTGACAAATATAAAGTTGGTTATTAGAAAAACAAAACTCTGAACTGATTCTGGAAAAAAACGATATTAGGCTTCTCTGCCGTCCATAACAATTTATATGCCCAATTATTTACTTTGTTACAAGGGTCAAATTAAATAAAATGAAGGGTTTGTTAAATGGAATTCAATACATTCACCTACTCTAAAGAACTGTTCCGGATAGTTACCCAAAAAGCCAGTATACAGATATGTAATGTTGTTTTGAAATAAACAGGTATTTTGTAAACTACAAAAAAAAAAAGACGGCGTATTCATTATTTTTTATTACGGCAGCACACCTACCAGTCATTGAATCTGTGTGACGCTCAATTTGATCCTCGGATATACTATTCCCCGCATCCTGAACCATTGCGAAGAGGTTATGTTCGTTTGTGAATCTCTTTTGATTTTGCTATCCATGACACTCCAAAGATATGGTAAAGATCTGATGATTGTGTTGGCCATTATAAAACCATGATTTTTGACTCCCGCAATTAATCTTTGACATGTTTCGGTTTATGTTTGAGGTTATTGTCAGGTCATTATGTACCATTATTGTCCCAACTTCATGCTTTATATTAGTTTGGGGACAAATATATCCATTATTTTTATAAGACCTATGGGACATTATTTAAAATGCTTCGGAATGTTCGATTTGGGCCAAATATGCACCGTTTTGTTGCCATTTTAAAGGTAACTTCTTAATGTCTCTCTCATAGAAGTCCTGCTCTCTCTTTGCAAAAAACTCTAGTAGTCGATTTTCACAAATCCTCCCTAGATACCAATTTTTTAGCATTAAAGAAATTTTGCAACGCAAGAAAAAGATGACAATCATTTGGTGCCAAGTCCGGATTGTATGGCGAGTCACTGTAGAAGTGTGTGGCCTAGCGTTGTCCTGGTAGAACACCACACCTCTCCTGTTGGCCAATTCAATATGATCAATTGCAAATGGTTTAAACAGTTTTATGGTCGATTTTTAGCTCCTGGGCTAACATAATTTTCTCCGATTTTATCGACATTTTCGACGAACGGCCTACCTGTGCAAGGTGCATCCGTAAGATCAAAAATTCCTGAACCCACGAAACCAAAATTGCACATAATTGACTGTTACAGTATCGGAACCATAAACACCATTCACAATTTTAGCCGCTTGGCTTGAATTTTCGCCGTTGTCAAAGAAAAACTGTAAAATGTACCGAATTTTCTCTTTGTTCACTTCCATTTTGAACATCCAGTAACACACAACCGAATGCACCAAACAAAAAACGGCAAACTATTTTTTTTGCTGCGAAATGTCACCCTTCCAACGAGCATAAATCTCAAATTGTTTAATCGATATTTTACGAGAAATCTATCAGTACAGTCATCCGCTGAAAATAATGTATTTTTTCCCCAACCTAATATAGTTTTTAATATTTCAATTTTCTTTTAATACTTCAATAAATTTGTTGGCATAATTTTCGGAACTAAAGTTTCTATTAAAACATGCTAATGGAAAAAATCATTTGGTTTGCGCACTTTGATATTTATGCAAACTAATGACTCAAAATTAGAAATATTGCAGGTTCTGGACGAATTTTTAATTATAATTAATTATGTTCCCCTGCAGAAAAACCATATGTGTCGTCTTTGAACATAACCGGAACTTTTTATGCAAAATTTCGAGACGAACTGTGACACGTGAATAGATCGATTCAGCTAGTTGAAATATGACGATCGGCATACTAAAATGTGGGTCTATGGCCAAAATTTCGTGGCTTTACAAACTATTGGGCAACACAAATTTTTAACACTATCAAAACATAGTTGTGTAGCGTACAAATAACGCTAAGCAACAAAATGGAGCTCATGGTTTTCAGACGTGTATTTTAGGAGCTCAGGGGAATAAATTCATCGAGTTTTTGAGCTGTCATGATGAATTTGTTGCTTGTGATCCTATTCTCTGCCTTTTCTAATTTTCTTTCATTGCAATTCCATTCCTATTTCATTTCCTCTATTACTAGCATAATAATTGCAAATATACAACGGATGACAAATGGTCCTTACAAAGTCCATTGAATTCAATTATTTTGTAAAGGATGTAAGAAGAATAAAAACACTCATACACAGTCGCATTTACACAGACACATTCAGAGCCGACAATCCGATAACAACCTTTCTTTAGAAGAACATGCGAGTAATCGTTCCGTTCAGTAGTCAGCATTGGTAGTCTTGTAAAGCACAACAATTCCATTTGATTGAAATGGCAAAAACTAAACAAAAAAGAATGCGAAACATATCGAAGAAATATAGGATATTTGTAAGTTATGCCGGCAAACCCGGTTATATATGTATAAATAGCATATGTTGTGCTTTGTTTCTGGCTTTTGTACGAATTACTTAGTCGAGGCAATGGCATATCAATGCAGAATTTTTGTAAGGCATCTGAAATTGTGAATGGTGATGTATACATTCTATAGACTTATTGGAGTAAATTACGTATTGTAAACGACAGTAATAGCAAATTATCGATGTATTATATTTTATTGTAACAAAGAACAACTAATAAACCGTTAAATTGTAGGGTGTTAAATAATCTATATTATATTAATTAACTATATGTTAATAAACTAAAAATTTAATCATATTCAGAAATTATCATATGCAATACACACTATCAAAATATCGCTTAAATCCTAACTTTTAGCATTTAAACGATCGTTATAAGATTTAACAAGTGTCAGTGGGTGTAACCGACAGAAATATACCCTCAGCCTATGGTTTGCGAAAGTCTACGGAATTACACAATTGTTTAATGTAGGCTTAATGCGGGCTTGGTAAAAAAGTCGAGATTTGTCATTGCCTTATTTTAAAGTTCTTTTCCTAAATATTTTTAGGATAATATAATAATACTAACTAGCGGACCCGGCAAACGTTGTTTTGCATAGCAATATTGTTGATGTATAATTCACATAAATTAAGTTAGCTTTTTCTACCCTCCACGATTTGGGGTAGTGCTCTGAAATTTGCACATACATTGCTACTACTCCTATGATATTTGGTATTGAAAATGTTAAATATTAGTTCACTATATAGGGTAGCCCCCTTTTAACGGTATCTCGCAATATGAGAAATTTTGACGATTTTTTGGTTGTAATTGAGCAAAAAGTGTCCGTATCAAATATTATCAATACTGGCGCATGTTTCAGGGTACATAGAATGGTTGCCCTAAACATTTCGTATTTTGAAGATCTTGGTCACAGATTTCAACAGAATTGCTTTTCATTTAATGTAGGGTATACTTATTGAGCAGAAAATCTCTCTTCTTAATATTATCACTACTGGTCCAAGTATCCGGGAACGCCTTAATATTCGATAGTTGGCTGTAATTTTATATTTCAATGATCATGAGTAGAAAATGTTCCTAACAAAATTTGCCCAAGGTTCCCAAAAGCCTCCATATAATGCACTCCACATTATAAGATCCTTAAGGGATTTGTGCATGTTTTTCAAACTAATCAGCTGTAATTAGTTGTTTTATTTTGGTAGAATGAATCCTACTATAAATAGTCAATATTTGTCTACTCATATGTATTTTGGGGGGGTTGGTCAGGTGTTGTAATCAAATTGGCTGTAATTTTATATTTTATATGATCTGTGAGTACAAAATCTCCTTACAAAGAATTATCAATATTGGTCCAAGTTTCCGGGTAGCACTCATATAATGGTACCCCCTATAATTTCTCAGGTGGTTTCTCCATTTCCATTGCTATAGCTAAAATATGTCATTCCGGGATATTGGCCTATTTAGGTCAAAGTTTTGATATAGCAATACATACAGATCTCGCCCCATTTTGGTATAACCTTCAAATTAGATATATCTTGGCTATTTTTTTAATATTGCTGGTATTTTTAAGGTTGTTCTCTTACCAGCTAAGCTTAATGATACATTTTAGCAAAGAAAATATCTCGTATATTAGTTTTCTCTGTGATACACATTATTGGTATCGGATATATGCGAGGTGTTATGTTTATAAGTTCAAAGATATTAAAAAACGATTAGGCATATAACCTATTATTATTATTATTTTCGCTCAAAATGTCTTAAAATAACAACTACGACTATCAAATTACCTCGATAATAAGTTCGTGGAAATGCAAATAAGCTGCATAATATTTTTTTGCAAATTTTTCGCGATTTTCGATTTGTTCTCAGCTTTTAAACCTTCCCTGAGGCTCCACGAACATTTCAAGACTAAGATAAGAAAAATCCGTTCAGCCGTTCTCGAGTTTTAGCGAGACTAACGAACAGCAATTCGTTTTTATATATATAGATAAAAAAGTTAAGTGATTGACTGACAGGACGAAACAGCTGAAGCTAGAATTTTGAAATTTTAGTTGAAGGTCACTCTTGGTCCAAATGTGTCAGATTAGGCTGGATATTTGGAAATTGGTACTAGAACGTCAGGAAAATACTAAGTAATACTAAATATGGTACCAATTGTAATTGGCGAACTGGTG